TATTTATTGATTGATTTCAGAGAGGAAGGGAGAGGGAGAGGGAGAAAGAGAAACATCAATGATGAGTGAGAAGCATGGATCGCCTGCCTCCTGCACGCCCCCTGCTGGGGATGGAGCCCACAACCCGGGCCTGTGCCCTGACCTGGAATGGAACCGTGACCTCCTGGTCCATAGGTCGACGCTCACCCACTGAGCCACGCCGGCCGGGCCGGGAGCTGATCCTTCAGGCAGACGGGACGGGGAGCAGTGACCCGCTGGCTCCTGAAAGCCACCCGGGCGATTCCTGCCCAAAGGCATCGGGTCACCTGCCCGCGTCCCTGCCAGCAGCCCTTGGTGAGGAAAGGGACGGACGCGCTGCTGGTGGCAGCCCCGGTTCTCCCGGACTCAGGTTTCCCTCCGCACATGGATGTCTGTTCTCATGTTCATTTCCTTCTCCTCGGCCGGAACGCAACCCCCGTACCAGGCTCAGGTCTCCTCAAGCCCAGTGGCCCTGCTGCTTTTTCTCCAACTTACATAAAAGTTTAAATCCCTCTCCCCCTGCTCCAGCGGCTGCCAGCACGGCCATCAGAGACGACATTCTAGGGGATAATTAACATATCAGATGCCGGTACCCAGCCTCCTCCTGGGGTTCTCGGGTTAGATGCTATGAGCCACGCACGTGATTCAGGCCGTGGGGCATATTCCTGTTGGTGGCTGTGTTTATGCTCGAAGGGTTCCAGCTAAAAGTCCTCCGCTGTGGGGGCTCCCCCCCTACCCCCACCCCCGCCCGCCCCGGGAGAGGCGAGGTGAGATTGGATCAAGTCTTGTTGAACAGGGTTAACCTGCGGGGGAAACAGCGTTAAGGGAAGTAATTATCCATTCACACGGAGCTGGCTACAAAGAAAGTGAGAAAATGGCCTTCTCAGAACTCCCATGAAAAACATAATGGAGTTAATATTCAATAAAGGCGTTGGGCAACCGCCCCGCGTGCTTTTTCTTACAGTGTGTTCTGATGTGTCCTTGATCGGGGCCTGTTTTGTTTATGATTAATGAATGACTCACCTTGGGCCGTGTTCCGCTCAATGCATACCTCATTATGAATCTCAAGAGGTCATTTGTGTTTTCGGATTTAAAAATTTAAACACACACACACACACACACACACACACACACACGGCACCTCTTTGTGCGTTCTGCAGGGACAGCGTTGGATATCGGTGACAAAATGTGCGCAGGGAGAGCTGGAGGGGAGCGGGCCGGGGGCTGTTTGGGGATGCGTGGCTTGCTTTGAAAATGTGGTAACTTTTGGGAAGTGGGAGAGAACCCCCGAGCCTGGGCTTTGATGCTCAGGAGGCCCTGAGGCCACGGGTCCTGAGCCCAGGGGCGTCTGTGGCATCGGCCTTGCCCTGTGGGCGCCATGAATCAGGGGGGCTTGGGGTGCGTAGGACGGGTGGGCGGGTGTGGGCAAGGGCTCCCCGTGCGTCCCTAGGAGGGGCTGGTGGAGGGGGGTTAAAAGGCACAAAAACAAATCAAAAGTAAACACAGTCTCAGGCCCATGCCCTCCGATCGGATCAGTTCTCTTCCTTCTTTCCATGCTGTCCACCTGGCTCGCTCTTCATCGCTTCTTTTCCTCTTTCAAGGGGCTCCCTCGGTCCCCTTTTTCATTCATTCATATCTAAACGCCAGAATGAGCAGGAGTCTGCCGTGGTAGCTGCCAGAACCCAGATCTGATGCAGAAGGTCAGAACTGGGGGGTGGGGGAGTAGGGGGTGAGATTAAACCGTATGCCTGTGTGCTTCTGCCAGGTTCCTGACAAAACCCTCTGATCAGGAAACATACGTGTACGTCTGTACCAGTTCGCACACAGTCCCACACAGCAGAGGAAGACAGCGGGCAGACACGTGAAGGCCAATGGCTCTGGGGGTACAGATGATACGTTTTAACACAGACGGGAACCCTCTGAGAGGGGACTTGTGTATCAGGAACCTGTCCCCCGCCGCGGGGCACATTCCTAATCCCACGGCTTCCAGCCGGTACCCACACACCTGTGACTCACCACCTGCGGGCCCCGCCACAGCCCCACGTTTCCACAGGGTACGTGTGTTCACCTGGGCGTGCGAACAAGGGCGCGTCACCCAGAAATAAACGCACGGGCATGAGCAGGACTTAGCGGTTGACTAGGGATGCCGGCTCCCGGGGGGACACAGTTCGCTGGTCGCCTAACCGACGTTACTGTCGGCCAGGTGATTGCTTTCTGTGAGAGAGGAACCGCGTCCTTTGATCCCAGCCACCGAGACGGGGATTCAACCACAGCGAGGCTCGGGGACCCCCGAGTGACTCCGGGCGGGCGAGGGCCCGACGTAGCCGGGTGACCCTGGGCAGGCCGTGTCCCCACACCAGGCTGCATCGCTCCAAAGGGAAGGCTTTGGACTAAATAGCCTGTAAGTTGTTTCTTGCCATCCATCCTCTATATTTTTTATTCTAGAAATATTGTCCTTCCTGCCCACGGTCTGTGAGTCTGTGCCGAGAAAGAACTACGCATGTGGCCCAGCAGGTGTGGCTCAGTGGTTGAGCGTCAACCCAGGAACAAAGAGGTCTCCGGCTCGCTTCCCGGTCAGGGCACACGGCCAGGGCGGCTTGTGGACTCCATCCTCAGCAGGAGGCGTGCAGAAGGCCGCCCGTCGATAATGTTCCTCTCTCGTCGATGTTTCTATCTCTCTGTTCCTCTCCCTTCCCCCCTCTCTCTCAAAACCAATAAAAACACTTTTTTAAAAAAACATATACGTGGAGCTAACGTGAGGGAGGAACTTGAAAACTTGGAAATGGGGTAGCTGGGATTGCATGACCGGCGAGGGACATGCCAAGCACAATCTCCCTAAACATATTGTCCTACAACTTGCCCACTTCCAAAGCAAGGTGAGCGTCCAGGAATCGACCAGAAGGCTTCCTCACATCACCCTAAAACATTTTTTAAAAAGACTCAAGATCTGAACAGCAGTACTGATACCTTTTTTGAACGTATTGCAAAACTAGAGACTGTGAATGGGGCAATCACCCCACTGTCTTACAAAAGAAAAAGTTCCCACTAATTTGAGAAAACGGAGAAGGCGCCCATAGGTAGCTTGGGGATCAGTTTTATCACAGGTCACACTGGCAGCCATCATCTCTGTGTGTTAGCCTGACGCTAAGTACGCCAGCGTGGAAACCCTCTGATTGGCTGTGCCTTTCCTTTTTGCCAGCGGTCCTCAACCTGTGGGTCTCGACCCCTTTGGCGGTCGAACGACCCTCTCACAGGGGTCGCCTAAGACCATCCTGCATATCAGATATTTACATGACGATTCATCACAGTAGCAACATGACAGTGATGAAGTAGCAACGAAAATAATGTTATGGTTGGGTCACAACATGAGGAACTGTCTTTAAAGGGCCAGAAGGTTGAGAACCACTGCTCTTTGCGGTTACCAGGTAGCAGCCGGCACCTCCAGAAGCCCCACCCAGTGACTTTTTCTTCCATCTCATTGGCCAGAACTTCCTCCTGCCCCAGGGACCCCCCCCCAAGGACCCCCAAGGACATCACTAGACGGTCCCTGGGAAGATGGAGGTTGTCCAGGGAGGGAGGGGCCCAGCTGCCCACCTGTCTCGGCCACACCTGCCCAGCCTCCCCTGCTAATGAGCGTGGCTCTTACGTGGTGCTTGGCCACACTTCTCAGGTCTGTGAACACCAGAGAGTTGCCTCATGTGCTTCTGTCCCGGGAGCCCCGAGCCTGCGGGCTGGGCACGCTGCTCCTCACGGGGTGCACTTTGTCTTTTATGCGAGGGTTCGGGTGGGCGAGAAGATCACCTGCTCTAGCAACCCCGCTGGCTGCCTCCTACACACCTCCCCGTAAAGGCAGCTGAGGGCGATGATGGTCATGGCGGTTCCTCCTACGAGAGAGAGGACAGAGCTCAGCCCACTCACACGACAGGAAGAACGTAGGGCGACAGGAACCAAGGATGCCTGCACGGGAATCGGGTGACCTCCAAAGAGGACTGACCGCTCTCTCCAACCTGCAGTTACTGTGTTCGGCTTTTGCTAGTACCCCCCCCCCCTTGCTTCTGAACAACCCAGCTACTCTCGTCTCCGTCCATGGAATTCGGGGTGAATAGTCCCATCTCTTCAGAAACGTCTAGAAGGCCACACAGATGCGCCCAGGAGGTCAAAAATGGTCTTGGAGGGCTTGACAACTAAACGGAACTCAAAAAAGAAGGGTTAGGGAAGAGGAAGGGGAAAGGGAATAGTGGGAAGAGGGAGAGTGGCTGCAAAGACCCCGAGGCAGCGGGAAGTATGGCGTGTAGAAGGAACCCGGAGGTGTCTGCATGGCGGGGGGGAGAGAAAAGGAGAGGGTCACAGGATCACAGGAGCAGACCTACCGGGAGGCAGGCCAAGAAGGGCACACTGAGCCCTGGGCCACAGTAAGAATTCGGGTCTTCACCTTCCTTCAAAGACATGAAGGGTTTTGAAGAAGGGGTTGGGTGTGACTTTATTCGTATTACAGAGGTAACACTGGACAATGTGGAGAATGGATGGGGGAAGCAAGGGTGGGTTTGGGGAGAAGTTAAATGCGCCCAGCATCGCATCACGAATATGTTTATGAACTGAGCTCAGTCCCTCACCCACACCGTACAGCCAGCAAGTGTCAGAGCGAGCAGGGAGCCAGGCTCTGAACCGCCGTGCAATGCGGGACGTTTCCTACAACGGCACCACTAGATTACTCTTCGGCTATTAGCAACGTGCTAGTAGGCACTTTCAAACTTTTCCATTGGGTTTCCTCCACCCCCGCTTTTTTGTTGTTTTTTTTTAAATAATAGTTGCACAATTATTTTTTAAGATGATTCAAGCAAAAATCCACTTGCTATTTGGGTGACAAAGTTCAAAAACTCCGTATTGTGTCATCAGCTTTAAAAAATGTATGACTAAGAACACTTAGCAAATTCCAGAGACCTTTGACCTCTAGCTTGTTGAATATTGTAGTGTATGTGGGGTGTTTTTTATTTTTTCTTTCTGATTTGTCCAGGACTATTTGTACTTTGGATTATTAATCTATAACCAAACACAGCTCTGGCTGGGCTAGCCCCCGACCCCCATGATGATGCCAGGAACATGACCGCATCTATTATCTTTTCTTTGAATTCTGTCAAATCTTTATTCTGGCTCCTTTTTCCCTTGGTATTTCCCGGAAAAAAACTCCCGATAAATTCAGAACTGCCTGTCATTCGTCAGCAGGAACCATATCTGACTCAAGAGCAGAGTTCAAAAACATTTTTTCCCCACAATCAGATGCGAAAGAAAAAAAGCCAAACCTTCACACACACACACACCCACCCTCAACTACCTCCACCCCTGGCCCAAAATTGTTGGCCTGCCTTATATTCATGGATGGAAATGTATCATGCTTGTCCGGCTACCCTTTTAGTAGATTCAAGTTGTAAAGGAACAGACGTTTGTGAAGACTGTAACATGGGCAAGGGGCTACACCTGCGGGAATCTGGAAGATTCGGTCCTAGACGGCAAAGGCGGTGTCGGCAACAGGTCAGCACGGGGACCCCACACCCCACCACCGCTTGGGAGCCCGGTGAACCTGCCCGCCCCTCCCTCTCCTCCTCTGTCCCATGTAGGCAACAATAGCACAGACCTCATAGCAAGGGTTCTTTCTGGAATGAGCCGGTCAGTCTTTACTGAGGACCTACTGCGTGCCAGGCACTTTCCTAGACCCCGGAGGCCCCCGCCCACACCGTCACGGAGCTGCCGTTCCCGTAGGAGACACAGGCCAGAAGCAAATCCGGTCACTGCGGATGGTGATCACCCTGCGGCCCAAATGGAACAGAGTCCTGCAGGGAAGGGAAGGGTGGCCTGGGAGGGATTAGGTAGGTCTTCGGGTCGGCTTGCTGTCTGAGCCGGGGACAGGTGAGCTGGGGGGGCATTGGTGAGAAGAAGAGCCAGCCAGGGGAAGGTCCAGGAGAGAGAGAGAGAGAGAGAGAGAGAGAGAAGCCACACAGAAGAAACGGTCAATCCCCCTGTGAAATGAAAGAGGCCGCACCCTGAAACGGGTGGAGGTGAGAGGGAGACAGTGGGAAGCAGAAGGTGACGGTGGAAAGGGCGGCAGGGCCAGGCCCATGGGCCCTCGGAACCGTGGAAGGAACTTGCACTTCAGCCCGCGTGCAAGGAGAAGTCATTGGTGAGACCTGGGCGGGGGGAAAGGTGGCCTGAGTGGTGACCGGAGGCTGCCTGGCGATTCTCGTGGTCGGGGGACAGTTTCCGCCTGTAGCTCACGTGGCTTCCGTACCTGAGGTAAGTGGGTCATGATCCACACGGCTTCGGGCTTTGAATTATCACCGTGTGTGTGGGGGGGGGGCGGTGAGCGGGTGCAGACCCCGCCAGAGACCTGTGCCCACAATGGAGCATTGGGCGCCGCAGCGGCCACTTGGGCCAGCTCAGCAGCTGCCAGGGAGCGCTCCCCGTGCGGGCACTCAGCAGGGTGAGGGCTTATGTCCCCGATGGCCCAGCGCTGATAGGGCCTCTGGGGGTGCCAGGGACACAGCCCTCCCCCTCACACGTGCAGCTTCCTTCCCAGTGACGCACTGGCTGCTGCCACTGCACCCACATTTCAGCCAGAAAGTGGGGGAGCCGGGACGGGGGAGAGGACTCTGTTTCCTTTCGGGGTCGCCACCTGGAAGTCCATACGTCCTTCCCACTCCTTTCCATTGGACCAGAACCTACTCTCAGGCCCACACCTGGCTCAAGGGAAGCGGGGAAAGGTACGTTCCAAGTTTAAGCTGACTTTGCCCGGCCAGCGTGGCTCAGTGGTTGAGCATCTACCTAGGAACCAGGTCAGGGTTCAATTCCTGGTCAAGGCACAGGCCCGGATTGCAGGCTCCATCCCCAGTGTGGGGCGTGCAGGAGGCAGTCGATAGATTATTCTCTTGCATCATTGATGTGTCTCTCTCTCTCCCACTCCCTTCCTCTCCGAAATCAATAAAAAGACATATTAAACGTTTCCTGTTATAAAAGGGTATGGGCGGGGGAGGGTTGCTCTGGTCTCTGCTTCAGCTGGCATTGCCTTCAGCCCTCGGAGAACCAGCTCCGTGAAAGGCGGTTCTGTCCCCAGAGGTCGCGTGAATAAGATAAATAATAATCATAATAGTTAATACAAAGTAACGAGGTAGTTGAGACATCACCCTATCTTGATAACTCTGCCCCGAACAATCCTCGCTCTGTGCCCCGTGCAAACAGCAGGGTTTTATTTTTTTTTTTTAATTAAAAAAATAAACGGAACAAACGCATCATTGTCCGCCGCCTCCCGGGCCTGCCCTCTCGGCTGTTTTCCTGGCCGCGGAGCAAGGTGAGCGCTGCCGTCTGTCCGTGTTCCTCCCTCCCTGGCCCTTCGCGCTGAGCATGTCAGTCAGCTGGTGGGCGGCCGGGCCCTTTTGCACATTCAGCAAAATGGTTACAAATCATCACGACTCAGCTGTAACTTTAAAACCACCCAGCGATGCTATCAAATCATGACGCCTAAACTGACAAAAATGGAGCCCACGGCCCCCTTTGGGGGTGCGGTATTAGTGGGTGTACAAAGATCGTTTCCCCAATCCACGCGGGAAAGCTGTGCGCACTTCCCCCGGGCGCTGCGTGCCCTGACCGTGGGAAGATTCTCCCCGGAATAGAGACTCGAGGAAAATAAGGCTGTGACTATAAGGCACCCGGAGAACCAGGGTTTTATTTCATTTTTTCAATATATTTTTATTGGTTTCCGAGAGGAAGGGAGAGGGAGAGAGAGAGAAACATCAATGATGAGAGAGAATCATGGATCAGCTGCCTTCTGCACGCCCCCCACTGGGGATCGAGCCCGAAACCTGGGCATGTGCCCTGACCAGGAATCGAACCCTGACCTCCTGGCTCATAGGTCAACACTCACCCACTGAGCCACGGCGGCCGGGCAGGATGAGGGTTTTAGCAATTAACCTATAGTTTCAATCAACGTAGATGAATAACTAGAGGAATTCATTTGTAAAAAGGCAAGGGAACCGGAGTTGTAGTCAAGGCATTGACGTGCTGGCTGTGCCCATGACTTCCCGTGTGACCTGAAATCACTCCCACCCTCCGGTCCTCGGTTCCTGGTCTGTGACAGGGGGCGTGGGCCCTGCTCTGCATCGGGCAAGGCCTGGGACAGGGCTGCTCCCGCACCGCTGGCTCAGGCAGACCTCACGGATCACCCACAGCCTGGCCCTCTTTGCTCGAAGACAATCCACCTGGTACCAGGGCTGGACCAGAAGATGAGACCTTATGGGCTACCCCCAAGTGAGGTGGGTTCTAGGACCTCTTCCAGCTTTAACATGTTAGAATCTGATCCAGTAGAAAGCAAAGAGAGCCCGGCTGGTGTGGCTCAGGTGGTTGAGCTCCACCTATGAACCAGGAGGTCACGGTTCGATTCCCAGTCAGGGCACAGGCCCGGGTTGCCGGCTCCATCCCCAGCGGGGGTGTGTGCAGGAGGCAGCCGACTGATGATCCTTTCTCATCATTGCTGTTTCTCTCTCTCTCCCTCTCCCTAGCGAGGGTGTGTGCAGGAGGCAGCCGACTGATGATCCCTTCTCATCATTGCTGTTTCTCTCTCTCTCCCTCTCCCTTCCTCTCTGAAATCAATAAAAATACATTTTTTAATATAAAAATAGCAAAGCAAAACGGAAATTTCATTTGAGCTAATCCGTGACTCTGGTGCGTTGTAGCATGTGGCCTCGGATTCCAAAGGGGAAAGCTGGCCGACCTTTGCTAATTAAAAAAGACGAATCACATATTTGGGAATAAATGATGTGCTCTTTCCTTCACCTTACAGCCAGGGGAGGTAGAGAATATAAATGCAAATGAGATGCAAATATACTGTGGGGACCTTCCTCTTTCTTCCAGTTGAATTCGGCTTCTGGGCACCTATGGAAGACACCTCTATCTCTGCGTTTCCCAGGAGCGGCCCAGGAAAGGTTTGGAGAGCCTCAAGGAACTGCCGTCTCCCGCAGGGAAACAGAACTGGAGACTTTCAAGTTGGTGGCGAAGGAAGAGCCCCCACCTGGGGTGGAGGGTGAGCTGTGGCGGCTGCGGCTCCTGGGTCAGAAGGTCAGGCTGGCCTGGAGTGAGGGGAGCGGGTGCCACCGCCCAGGACTGCTGTCCCCACCGTGGGCACAAGCCCGTCCCTGAACCCCTCACAGGTGAGGCAGGAGACATCACCACAGAGGGAACCATGGATGAAGGTTTGGTATGTTCTCCTGTTAAGCAGCCCCTCTGACCGGGGCCGGGGGCCTGGGACCCTGCTGGCTCCTCACCCCCCAGAAGCACCTCTGCGGCCCGGTCAGAGCTCCTGGAGGCCAGAGCTCCCGGAGGCCAGGGCAAGGCCAAGGGCAGGCGGGAGCCCCAGTCCCACTCCTCCTGCCTCTCGGGGTCTTCCTGCCCGTGCCAGCGTCTCCCTGGCGAGTCACCTGAGAGCGTCCCCCTCTTGCAAGAGGCCCGACACACCACAGGGCCTGATGGACGTGAAAACCCGTGCGCTTAACACAGAGACTCGTTCACAACAGGAATGGTCGCGTGTTGGAAGCTGCGTTTAAAGAAGCTGCCATGCTCGGCCTGGCCAGGTTGGCTCAGTGGATGGAGCGTTGGCCTGCGGACTGAAGGGTCCCGGGTTCGATTGCGGTCAAGGGCACACGCCCAGGTTGCGGGCTTGATCCCCAGTAGGGGGCGTGCGGGAGGCAGCTGATTGGAGTTTCTCATAGATGTTTCTAACTCTCTCTCTCCCTCTCCCTTCCTCTCTGTAAAACTTCAATGTACAGTGGGGCCTTGACTTACGAGTTTAATTCGTTCCGAGACCGAGCTCGTTAACTCAAATTACTCTATCAACTCAATGCAAGAGAGTGAGTTGGTATCTCGTTAGTTGGGACACTCGTAAGTCAAGGCCCCACTGTATATTTAAAAGGTGAGATCTGAGGAAGGTCTACAGTCTGTCTCAATGAATGGTGCCCATGAGTTCCTGGTTTGACGGTGCACTGTGGAGGTCACCATCAGGGGAGCCATGGACTATCTTTGCACCTTCTTGTGGGTCAATAGTTATTTCAACATAAAAAGCTTAAAATCAGAAAGAATTTCTTGGAACCGCAGTTTACCGAGGCGGCCCGGGCAAGGGAAGGTAGCGGGAGGGGAACAGAACCTTTGAGTCTCTCTCCCACTCACGCCCCCGAGTGGGGCCATCTCTCGAGGATTCTTCCGGCAGCAGGTGGATGGGGGACCGCGGCCTCCCCCAGTCTGTGCTCACCGACAGAAGCAGGGCCAGTTGAAATGAAGCCACTGACCAGGGCTCTCGGAGCCAGGCCGTCCCAGTTTCTAGAAGCACAGCCCCTTCCCCAATTTCCAGCTTTAATTAGCGATACAATGAACGAATCATAAAAACCAAAGCCGACTGGCGAGGCCTGCAGAGCTGTGTCCTGGGGTGTTGAGTGTGTGTGTGTGTGTGTATTTTTGGGTAACGACGCATTCTGCACGTGGTAATTAGGGCCCCGAGGGGGGGTTGCAATTTCTTTTCTCCCCCCCCACGCCCCCCCAGAGTTGCCAGTGGAAGGAGGCGGCTGCTAAAATTCCCACACATCTGGGGCGAACAGACACTGCACTCCAATTTCCTGTCGGCGCTGCTGGTTTCTGGAGGAATTACTCGCTAAGTAAATGATTGTTATAAGACCAGGACGATTCGGTCAATCAAATTAACCCCTTTTGTCCACCGCCTCCCTCCCGCCCCACCCCCCACCAGACTGTTCCCTTCATTTGCCTAAACTCGGTGGCTTTTTGAAAATGTGTTCAAGCTCCAAGGCCCCCTGGCCTTCCCCCCCTCGGCCCCCCGTGTAACCTGAGCAGGGACCCGAGGCCCCCAATTGTTTTGCTAATCAAGATTATTGCCCCATTGAGATGTGGAGGCACAGCCTGGCTGACAAAATTTGTCAGTTTCCCATGAAATAGTTCTGTCAGTGCAGCCTGGGCGCTGGCAACTATTAACATATAAATGAAGTTTCTCCCTCCTCCACCCCCACCCCCCCCACTTCAGCCACCATCCGGTGGAAGCAGAGAAAATATAAACACACTCCCACCCCCAGCTCCCATCCCCTCCATGAGCTTAAATCAAACCAGTTCCTTTACTCTGGGGCCTCCAATGGGCCATTTGGGGGGCCGGGGAGCAGGGGGAGAGCTGTTCAACAGACAGGGGAGGGAGGCCAACAGGAGCTGATTTGCACAAAACTACTTTTAAGGCACGACTCCGCCAGGCCTGGTCCCCCGCTGACAGCAACAGGCGACTGGCCGGGCGGGTGACGGTACAATGGCCTCTGAAGGCCGGGCAGACCTCCAAGGCCGCGGGGACGCAGGGCAAAGGGGAACACAGGGTCTGAAAGAGTCATCTGACAGCAGGGTAGGGTGGGTGGGGGCCACTCGGACGGAGTCCCGGGAGCTGGCCCTGCTCACACTGGATCTGGGACCCGCGTGGGGCTGGGTGGGGGCCTGGCTGAGCCGGCCTTTCCACAGCCCACAGGCCTGGGTTCTTGGCTGAGCTGAAGGAAAGCAGCGATGAAGTCTCTGTCTTCCTAGTTCTTCCCGAATGGAGTTAGAACTACAGGGGAGAAGCCCAAAGACTGTACTCTTTCTTTAATTATTATTTTATTTCAGAGAGGAAGGGAGAGGGAGAGAGATAGCAACATCAATGACGAGGGAGAATCCTTGATGGGCTGCCTGCTGCACGCCCCCTATTGGGGATCGAGCCCACAACCTCAGGCACGTGCCCTTGACTGGGATCAAACCTGAGACCCTTCAGTCAACAGGCCGACGCTCTCTCACTACTGAGCCAAACCGGCTAGGGCAAGACTATGTTCTTTATATTACCATTGGAAGTTAATAATAGAGATGTAGGGGTATATATCTGGAACCGCCTACAGAACCAGCTCAAAATGGCCCTGTCCCAGTCCTCGAGGTGCTGACTTGCTATTCAGGGGAAAAAGAACCGAAACTGCAAGTCACGCAGCCCACGCATCCGCAGAGGAGAGAACGTTGACCTCCAGCAGCATGGACCCAAAGTCTCACCCCTGATACCCACCCCCAGGGAACCCAGGGACGGGACACCACCGGAACTTGCACTCCGGAGCCCTTTCGGAAGGAAGGGTCCCCTGTCCGGGAAGATCCGGTGCTGACACCTGTCACCATGAATGGCCACGCTCAGGCCCTCAGCCCTCCGAACACCTGTTCCTCTAAACCAGGGGTCCTCAAACTTTGTAAACAGGGGGCCAGTTCACTGTCCCTCAGACCGTTGGAGGGCCGGACTATAGTTTTTAAAAAAAACTATGAACAAATTCCTATGCACACTGCACATATCTTATTTTGAAGTAAAAAAACAAAACGGGAACAAATACAATATTTGTATTTGCATGTGGCCCGCGGGCCGTAGTTTGAGGACCCCTGCCCTAAACCCTGAGCCCCCACCTGAACCAGGGAGTTCGGGCTTCGGAGCGTCAGCTTCTGTTCTCCTGGGGGTGTCCTTTGTAACACAATAGCCAATCTTGCCCAGCCGGTGTGGCTCAGTGGTTAAGCATCGACCTAGGAACCAGGAGTTCAAGGTTTGATTCCCGGGTCAGGGCACATGCCCGGGTTGTGGGCTCAATCCCCAGTGAGGGGCATGCAGGAGGCAGCCGATCCATGATTCTCTCTCATCATTGATGTTTCTCTCTCTCTCTTCCTCTCTGAAA